CAGACGTGTGCTCTTCCGATCTCCCCAAAACCCCAAAACCCCAACTGGTAAAATTTGAGATAAATTAAAGAAATTAAAAGTATATGAATAGCAATCGGTTTTAACTCTGATTTAAGATTATTCCTTAATCATGCTGATTTTTCTTCATCTATGATTTAGCTTCCATCTTTTTACTTGCGAGTCTTCGAAGGGATTATGATTTCTTGAAAGATATTTCCTTCACCTCCAGTATCTGCCTCAGATTTATTTACAACTTATATATTCTTCTTTGCTGCCTTTGTCCTCTTTATTAGTCTAATTAAGATCATTAGCATTGTTGAGGTTCCAACTGAGCCGAAAATAAACCCTATCATCATGTATATAAAATTAGACTATGGTCCAATCAAATTTGGCTTATTTTGACTAAATTTCTCTAGAACAGCCTTAGCCTTTTCAAAGTTTAAGTTTTACATATTTTGATTAGCTAATGTAGACATCTTATAGCTCTGACTCAAAGCTTCAGCAAAATCTTTGTTTTAATCATGAACGCGCTAATTTATATCTTTGAACAAGATATTAAATTTCTTTTATTGAGAGACATCTACTTGCATATCTTTCTCTCCTAGACTAAATGGATAGAGTTATTCCATTTTATTATAAGGCGGTTCAGTAGTAGTTGCTGGTTCTATATTTAGATGTAATTTTAAACTAAAATGTACCTGTTTATTCAGGCTCAGAGATATTTGTATCACTTGTTTATTCAGGCTACTTTTCTTTTTCTACTAGACCTTTAGCATTTTCTAGCATCCATTACAAAACTGTATCATAAGATCTGTGAGGTGCCTAAAAGATACTGCTAAATTTCTATTCATTATTGGGTCTTTCAGGTTCAATATAAGCAAAGTATGGATAGTAGGGCACCTAAAACTACCGCACAATATCTTGATAATCCCAGCCATTCATTGAAGCTATCAACACTTAATCCTCTCCATAGGTATCTCTCATATGTCTGAATATTCTATTGAAATCATTTGCAAATGTCCCGCAGTAATGACACCCTGGAGAGTAAAATTCAATAAAGATGTGCTTTTTCAAATTGAAGAACTCAAAGAATTGTTCTCTAGAGTTGACTTTAGTCATTTCTTACTTTTCAATCCATTCAGGACCACCACCTCCACCTCCAAAGCCACCAAAAAATTGATCACCTCCTCCAAACATAATGTATTATTGTTATGACTGTTAAACTAAGCAAAGCAAAGATAGCAAAACTAAATGTGTGAAGAGATGTTGGATATTTGATTTTTTCATTATCACTTTTAATACTACGATACTTATATATATATATTCAGTTTATTAATTTCCAGTTTAAATATTCCGACAATCTCAATTTCATCCATAAATTTTACCACATGGGGTTTTGGGGTTTTGGGG